GGTGGGGAGGGCAGCGGGGGGCAGGGCAGGCAGGGCCTCCTGCCTGTCTGCCCTCCCTGCGCCTCCCTCCCTGTATTTATTTTTGTGTAAATAGGGGCTTGCGTGTGGCCCCCCCCCAGCCCCCTGCCCGGCCCTTTTGTACTGGATTAAAACCAAACAGAGCAGCTGAACTGAGCTGTGCCTCTTGTCTTTGCTTAACTTGCCAGCGGCGGCTGCCGGGGCAGCCCCGGGGGCGGGGGGAGCTCGGCCCCGGTCCCGCTCCCCGGCCGGGGGTCCCTGCGCCGCGGTGCCCCGGGAGGCTGTGGCCCCACTTCCCCTGTTGCCCCTTTAAGGCGTGGCCCCTTTAATCCATGGCCCCTGCCGGGAATCGTAGCGACGCGCCCAGCCAATGGCGGTGAGCGGCGTCACCCCTGGCCGCGGTGCCTGCCGGGAAGCGTAGTCCGCCGGTGACCCCGGTGCCGGTCCCGCTCACCGAATGGCGGCGGTAGCGCGGCGGCTGCTCTCGCTGCTGCTGCTGCCGCTGGCTTGGACCCGGCCCGCGGGCTGCACCGACCCGCCGGGCGGCGGCTGGTAAGGGCCGGGGCTGGGGCGGGGTGGGGGGGCTGGCCCGGCGCCGCGCCCGGTGCTGAGCGGAGCATCCCGTTGCAGGCTGGCGGGCACGGTGCCGGAGGAGGAACGGTGTACCGTGGAGCGGGCCGACGCCTCCCTCACCTACTCCCTCTTCCTGCAGCGGTACGGGCGACCCGGCCCGGGCGGCCGCCGACCCGAGAGGGGGTCCTGGGGCGGGGGTAGGGGCAGAGCCGGTGGGGAGGGCCGGGGACAGCCCCCGGTGACCGGGGCAGACTACCGGGGAAGGGCCCCGGGGGATTAGGGAGGGGGAGGGTCCCGAGGAAGATGGCTGGGGCCGGCCCCGGTGCCCCCGGGGGTGGGCTGGGGCCGGCCCCGGTGCGGTCGCCCGTGCGGAAGCCCCGCTGCCGTGCTCTCCCCCAGGTTCGCCTTTTCCCGGCCGGTCATCCTCCGTGGGGTCACGGACAACTCGGTGAGTGCGGGAAGGGGGAGCTGGGGGGGACGACACACGCACCGGTGCCCCGGGAGCAGTGGCGGCAGCAGCATCATCCCGGCCCCGCTGTGTGCGTGTGTCCCCCCAGGCCTTCCGTGCCCTCTGCCCCCGGGAGAAGCTGCTGGCCGCCTTCGGGGCCCGCCCGGTGCGGCTCAGCACGGCCAACACCTACTCCTACCGCAAAGGTGAGAGCAGGGGCTGCGCCTCACAGCGCCCCCCGCCCCCCCCACCGGCGGGCAGGGCCTTCCCGGGGGGGTGCCCTCATTGCCCGCCCCCCCAGCTCTCCCCTGCCCGCAGTGGATGTGCCCTTCCAGGAGTACGTGGAGCAGCTGCTGAAGCCGCAGGATCCGGCCAGGCTGGGAAGCGGTGGGTAGCCCTGTCCCCCTCTCTGCAGCCGGCAGCCCCCCGCTTCTCACCGGCCTCATCCTCCCTGTCTTTTCTCCCCCACCCCCCCAGACACCCTCTACTTCTTTGGGGACAACAACTTCACCGAGTGGGGCCCCCTCTTCCAGCAGTACGTGCCCCCCCCCTTCAGCATCCCGGGCACCAGCCCTGCCTACAGCTTTGGGATTGCAGGTAGGTGCTGGCAGAGGTGGGCATGGGCACGATTGGGGTGGGGGGGGTGTATCCCCAGCACCAATCCCCTCCCCCCCGCTGTAGGCTCCGGCTCCGGTGTTCCCTTTCACTGGCATGGCCCTGGTTACTCCGAGGTGATCTTTGGCAGGAAGGTGAGAATCGAGCCCTGGGGTGGTGGGGAGAGAAAAAAGACCCCAATGGACAACCCCCAAACATGGGGAAGCCCCCCTGGGGCTGAGCCCAAGGTGCTGGAGGGGAAATGGGAGGGGGGGTTGTCCCCTCGCCGGTGTCTTCCAGCGCTGGTTTCTGTACCCACCGGATAAAACACCCCACTTCCACCCCAACGAGACGACGCTGGCCTGGCTCCACCACACATACCCTGCACTGCCACTGGCTGAGCGGCCGCTGGAGTGCACCCTCTGCCCCGGGGAGGTGAGTCCGACCCCGGGGCTGTGGAAGGAGGCAGGGAGTAGCCCCAGGAGCCCGTGGGATCCCCTGCCGCTCTCTCCTGGCAGGTCCTGTACTTCCCTGACCGCTGGTGGCATGCCACGCTCAACCTGGACACCAGCGTCTTCATCTCCACCTTCCTGGGGTAGAGCCGGCATCCTCATGTGCCACCATCGTCCTGGCTGTGCCGCTGTCCTGGCTGCGGTGAGAGTGTGCTGGGGCGGCAGCTCCGGCTCCTGCCACCACCATGGAAGGGCAGAGCTAGCAGCCACCCACTCAAATACTGGTGTCAGGACCAAGTGCCTGAAGAAGTTCTGGTTTTTACTAGTCTTTTCCCTTCCCCTTGGATTAAAGTTGTTTTTTCTGCCATAGCTCATTGTGTATTGGTACTTCCCCGCCGCTACCAGAGTGCAGGCAGAACAGGCAGCAGTGAGGCCCAGCCCACAGGGGCAGGCAAACCCACTCCTCATGGGTGGCACTGGTTCCCAAGCCAGGACAGTGCCTGCCCAGTGCAGAGATCGCCACTGTGAACCACTCCAGCTCTTTTTTCCACATTTATTGCTGAATTTTTTTTTTATTTTTATATATATTTTTTTTTAATTGACATTGGCAAACTTCCAGAGAGCGCTCAAAAGCCAGGCAGGCTGTCAGCCGACCAAAACGCTGGAGTCTCAGTCGAACGCAGATTTGTTGGTTTTGGTGTGGGTTTTTTTTTTTTTTTTTTTTAAAGGGATTTCAATAAAAGGAAGAGGAACTTCAACCTGGGAGGTTGTTCGCAGGGAACCACGGTCCCAGCAGGCGAGGGGACTCGCGAGCCAGCCCCTTCCAGCCCCAGGGTAGTTGTTTCCCAGGAAAAGCCAGAGGACGAGTTGGTGTCCGCAGCAGGATCCTTGGTCTCCCACCCCAACAAGTGGCTATTTACAGGGAAGAGGAGGACACAACCCTGGCCAGGCAGGAGTTGGAAGAAGGAGGAACCAACTATGTACACAGGGAGGGGACCAGGCCAGACCAGCACCAGGCGCTCATCCCGGCAAGCTCCTCATGGCACCTCCCCAGAGCAGGACATGATCTTTGGGGATTGTCAGGTGTTCTCTAGGCAATGAAGACGCTGACGAGACCTTCCAGGTCACTGCAACAAGCCCATCTTAAACCACTAGGCAGGTCTTCCTCCAAGTGCTGTGGTCAGCAAGGAGCTGGTGGAGAGGGGAGCCTTCGTGCACGCCCAGCCCCTGCGGCTCCTTGGGAAGGGGAGATGGCGACGTGCCCTCACCCAGCACTGTCGCTGGGTCTCTGGGCACCTGGAGCGGAGGGGGAATAGCCGGAGAGCGAGTAAGGCATGGTGCCGGTGCCAGCCCAGCGAGAGCCATCTGTGCTGCCGAGGCCAGGGGGTGGCCCAGGGGGGCCAGCGCTGGCCCCTCGGCCCCTCAGTAATCCTCCACCCAGCCGTTCTCCGAGATGAATGCGTCTATCACCTCCTTCATGGCGAGGTTGGGGATCAGCTGGTCCTGGGTCAGGGGACTCCGCGTCACTGGATCAAAATGACCCACGCGCTGCAAGGGAGGAGACGGCCGCGAACCGGTTACTCCACGCGCCTGGCCTCGGCCCTGGGGCACAGGCAGCCCTGAGGCCAGCACTGTGCCGGGATCCGGTACAACACCCAGGCATCCATACGCCTGCCGGGGGGAAGAAAGAGAGGGGCGGAGGGAGAGCCCCCCTCTGAAAGTGCCTCCCAGCAGGCTGAGAGCGGGTCAAGGCACAAGACCCCTGCCAACAGCCGCCTACGCTTTGGGCAGGGCCTGGCAGCGCCCGCTGCCTTCCTGCCTGCCTCAGCACCTCCACAGGGAGCTGCCCAGGCAGGTACCTGGGACCAAACCCAAGGAGGCTTTTGAGCCCTTAGTTGGGCAGGCAGCTGCCTTCATACCCAGGCAGGAGATGGGCAGAGGACTGCAGACAAGATCCTGGGAAGCCCCCACTGCCCCCGGCCCGGCGGTACCTGGAGATGTTCCTCAATGTCCTTCCTGTCGTAGGTGATCCCACTGGGAGTGATGCAGGGCTCTCTCATCAGCTCAAAACTGATCTTCCCACACAGGTAGTCAGGGATGTCCCGCTTCTGGCTCAAGAGAAGCAGAGCTGGGTCAGGAGGGGCTAGGCAAGCCCAGCAGCAAAAAAAGAGGGCTGGGAGGCAGTACCAGCTCAGAGCGGGAAGCAGGGAAGACAGCAGAGGTGATAGCATGGACTAAAACAGGTTTACAGCAAGCAGCTCCAGATGGGGAGAGACAGAAGTGCACGCTGGGGCATACTCACCTTCCTCCTCTCATCCACTTGAGAGAAGAGCTCGTCCATGTCCGCCAGGTATTTGTCCTGAAAGAAGAGGCCCTTAAGGATGAGGGGACCCCAGTGTACGGGGTCTCCAGGTCTCCAGGAAGAGAGCCCCAAAGGCTCCCACCCCATGGGTGCCGTGGTAGGTCCTTGGTGGCCCCTGTGCCTTCACAGCCCCCAGCTGGCATTCGCACGACTCCAGGCAGGAGTGATCCAGCTTAAAAATAACCTTCCTTTGTGGGGCTATTTTTATCTCGGGATTAGTCCCCTGCGCTGGGCCAGCACCCCGACCCACATGCGGCCGAGAGCTGCTCGCGTTGCACGGCCCTCGGAGAACAACAGGTACAGCAGCTGGGGGAGCACAAACAGGCGTCACTACTGCCAGCCTGCCCCGGGCTGGGACAAGAGGGTGACAGAGCATGGGCAGACATCATGAGGGGACATGAAAGCCCTGCAACAGCAGCTCGAGCCACAAAATGAAGGCTGAGAAGCCGTGCTCTGCCCTGGGGTCTCCTGGCTTTTGCCTGCACAGCTGCAGCCCTGTGGCTTCCTCGGCCACAGCAGAGCATGGGGATGAGGATGGGACGAGGAAGCCCCGGCTCGACTCCCAGCCTCCGTGAGCAGCCCCGACCCCCCTGGCTCACGTGTTTGGCCTCGATGCTGGCCAGCTGAACCCGGCTCCGGCTCTCGTCTGCATTTTCTTCCTGCTGAGTCTTTCGGCACTCAGCCAGCTCCCTAGGACAGAGCAGGGAGATCAGAAGCGATGGAGGGACCCTATCGCTCCCTTTCCTGCTGCTGCTGCCGCCCTAGCTGCGGGGCTCTGCCTGCACCTCCAGGAAGGCAGAGGCACCGTGCACAGAGCTGTGACGGCTTCGTGGCACTAAAAAAGGTTTTACAGGTGCCACCGCTGCCCCATGCCACGTTACCTCTCCTTCTCTGCCATGATCAGCTTGGTCAGGTAGGAGTGCAGCTCATTCTCCTGGTTGATCCGCTTCTCCTCAATGCTGTTCCAGCGTTTCTTCTTGGCAATGCGCAGCGCGCTGGGGATGTCGTCCCCGAAATTCAGCCGCTGTTCCTTGGCGAGGTTGTAGGCTGGGGAGGGAAAAGAGCATCTCAGAGCCGGCACGGGCTTCCCTCTCGCCATCCCTGGCCCTTTTCTGGTTGACGGATGGGGGGAACACCGGCACCATGCCCGCTCACCTCTCTGTAGGTTGGCGATAGCCTCGTCGTAATTCTCCATCTCCATCTGGCACTGGCCCAGGAAGAAGTGAGCCTTCACCGACTGACCATCCAGCTCCAGGGCTCGCTTGCAGTCTGCCAGTGCCTTGTCGTGCTGCTGCATCTTCAGGTAGCAGAGGGCTCGGTTGGTGTAGTAGACGGCCACCAAGGGGTTGCGGTTCTGCAAGGCAAGACCCACGTTATGGCGGGTGACGGCAAGCGCTGGCAGGGGCGAGACGCAGTGACAGCAGGGTGACTCGGTGAGCCGGCTGCGCAACGCCGTCACCCTGGTGAGAGCCATGAGAGCCGTGAGTGTCGGCTCGGGCTTGTACCCTGGGGGGAGTCACCGGGATGGATGGGGGACAAGCTGGGGCCGGTTCCTATGGGGCAGCCTGTGTCCCATGCCTGGAGGGGGACAGGGGACAGTCTCCCTGGCACCAGGTGCTGGCTGGAGCCCTCCACCCCAGGGTGGGTCTGCCCTACCAAACCCAGCCTGGGGATGTGGTGGGGTGTGGGGAGGACAGGCCCAGACTGAGGGCACCCTGGTGGGGGTCGACACAGGAGGGTCCAGCTCAGAGCCTGGTGGTGGGACAGGCCTGGCTGGGGGGGTGTCCAGA